GGCCACCATGAGATGGAAGCACATGGAGATGTTGGGTCACCATGAGATGGAGGGTCATGGGGCCACCATGAGATGGAAGCACATGGAGATGTTGGGTCAACATGGGATGGAGGGGGGGGGGGACACGGGGACACCACGGGATGGAGGGAGACACCACGGGATGGAGGGATCTGGGGTGCTTGGGGGACACCATGGGATGGGGGGACATTGAGGACACGAGGCCACCACGGGATGGGGGGACGTGGAGATCTTGGGTCACCATGGGATGGAGGGACATGGAGATGTTGGGTCATGGGGCTAACATGGGATGGAGGGACACCATGGGATGGGGGGACATGGGGGACACGAGGCTACCATGAGATGGAAGCACATGGAGATGTTGGGTCAACATGGGATGGAAGCACATGGAGATGTTGGGTCATGGGGCCACCATGGGATGGAGGCACATGGAGATGTTGGGTCACCATGAGATGAGGGCACATGGAGATGTTGGGTCACCATGGGATGGAGGCACATGGAGATGTTGGGTCATGGGGCCACCATGACATGGAAGCACATAGAGATATTGGGTCACCATGAGGTGAAGGCACATGGAGATGTTGGGTCAACATGAGATGGAGGGTCATGGGGCCACCATGAGATGGAGGCACATGGAGATGTTGGGTCACCATGGGATGGAGGGGCATGGAGATGTTGGGTCATGGGGCCACCACGAGATGGAAGCACATAGACATGTTGGGTCACCATGAGATGGAGGCACATAGACATGTTGGGTCACCATGAGATGGAGGCACATGGAGATGTTGGGTCACCATGAGATGGAGGCACATGGAGATGTTGGGTCACCATGGGATGGAGGCGCATGGAGATGTTGAGTCATGGGGTCACCATGAGTTGGAAGAACATGGAAATTTTGGGCCACCATGAGATGGAGGCACATGGAGATGTTGGGTCACCATGGGATGGAGGGGCATGGAGATGTTGGGTCATGGGGCCACCACGAGATGGAAG